CACCCAATTTCATATCTAACGGTCAAAATTAATTGTGGTCACCTTGTACCAAACGTAAATGATCTCCTTTTTATTCTTTTCCTATAATTATTTACCATGCATTCATACTCCGATGTTGCCCACTCTTTCCTTTTTCCTATAATTATTTAGTGCTGTCAGCACTCTTCAAGACCACCTTAGGGCAGGGCAAAATAGGAGACTCAATTTCCGATATTTAGGAACTCAAAATCCAATCTTATTTTTCCATAAAGATACCCATGGGGCAGTATCAAAGTGGAATTTTTAATTTCAAATCGAGAAAATACTCGTAGGAAAGTCCGTACTAGGTTTACAATGTGCATGTTTCACTAGAGTGAGTAGGTGCACAATGTGCTCCTGTAGGAGCAGGTTATCGCACTATCCAGAAAGAAAGAAAAGGGATGGAAGGAAACCGGGTGCGAGAGTCAAAGAATTAGAAAAGGCTATGGTTTTAGGAAGGCTATGGTAGATTGATCCCTTATATCATGTTTGCTTAAAGTCAAGTTATTGATTTGAATCATTTGACCTCTTCTAAACACCAATAAATAAACAGAAACCGGATAATATACACACTATGCATCCGAGTTACAAGGTATCTCCCAGGCCTAAGCGCCCCAATTGGGGCAGCACCGCCTGGTCCGGTCAGCCTAGCCCTAAAAAACTAGGGCCTAGGTCACATCTTGTGGCCTAAGGCCAGACCAGGCCCAAGCTATTACAATCGCAAGGTAGGGCCCGACTAAGCCAAAGCCAGGCAACCACGGCAGTACTAGCCCAGTTCGGCCTAGCTAGGCCCTTTTTATGTTACTTTTTGTCTTTTTATATTATTGGATTGTATTTGGCCTAACCTTGACAGAGCTAGGGTTGGGGTTGAGCCAAGGCCTCTTTAGCCTAATCAAGGTCAGGCCAAGCTTCGGCTTGCTATGTAAGGATTAGGGCTTGGTTAGGGCCAAGGCTAGCCCTAACTCAAGCCAAATCGGATTAGAAACTAGGCGATACCAGGTTGGACGATGTTTAGGACACGACTCTTTTGGGATCTCTAGAATTAATTTTCTGGTTATTCATCCCAAGAAATGAGGCATCCCGAGTGATTTCCAGTAATTGATGCCTCAATTGAGGAAGAAATTCCTCATGTGGTCCTAATTTCACCTCATTTTCTAGAAAAAGATATTCCAACTAAATAAGTAGAAGATTTATTTTATGAAAATGAATATTCTTCACCTCAATCATCTTCCCGTCCAACAAAGCCCGCGCCATCTTTTTCTTCAGTGGACCGTCGATCATCTCTCCTTCCTTAAATCGTTCTAGTCTAGTCATTTCTAGTCTAGTCTACCTCTTAAATCGTTCTAGTCTAGTCATTTCCATATTTGTTAAATTTATATGAGGACCGAGATCCTCGAAAATGCATAAGCATGATACGATGTTGGCAAGCAATGCTCAATAGTTTGTATGCATTGACACCGTTCACTTTTGGTACAAAGATATCACAATTGCTTTATGCGAATGTATAATATGAGACCATTTATTTTTGGTACAGACATATTCATATCTACCCATTAGATTTGAAAATTGAACCAGAGAAGACTACAATGTTCGAGAAAATATTTATCGAGCATTATGCATAATCAACGACACATCGTTAGCCATTTGATTTTACATTTGATTGCTATGAATAAGTGTGACTGCCTTGTATCAAAAGTAAATAGTTTCATTTTATATTTTCTCATGGCTTATATAACTATCCCATGTGAAATCTGATAGCTTGGGTGTGTCAGAGAGTTCGAAAAAAATTCTTTTGAACTTTAAGCTTTGTCAATAGAATAAAAAGAGTCACCCAATTTTACATCCAATGATCAAGATTAATTGTGACCATTTATACCAAAAGTAAATGATCTCATTTATACTTTTCCATAATTTTATGAGAGAGTCCATAGTTGTAAAATTATTAGTGGATAATTACCCCGTAGAAGTTGTGGAGAACGAAATTTGTGAGCATCCACAAGACCTCCTTTCCTGATGATGTTAAATTGACAATGGCAAAAGGACTTTACTCAATGATTAACACTCATGTGTAAGCAACCTAGCCAAAGCATATAAATGAGACATACTACATGACTCATACAATGCCATTCGCTTGTGTTTTTATCCACCATCGAATGTAAGATGTCTCACCGATCCAGATCGAGATTAGATCGCGAATGGGCCAGAATCAAAATGATTTCGAAAAAAGGTATTGAATGGATTTCAAAAAAGGTATTGGCTCGGCCCCTACCTAGAAACCCTTGCTATATTTTTCCTTTTTTCTAAAGCTTATTCAATATTTTGTTTAGTCTCCTAAATCACCGCACCTAAAACTCATTCTTTTTCCATTTTCTTTATTTTTAATATTTTGTAGATATTTTGATCGAACATGATCAACAATCCAATTATCCCATCTGGATTTTAAAAGGGTTCCGTTTGTATAGAGCCTAGGCTCTAAACCATCAAATTAGAACCTACCTTCAAATAGTGTCGAGAAATATCGTTTGAGTGTTGAAATTTTTTGTGATAGCCTTAAAATATATTTACATCTATATTTATAAAATTTAAAGCTTCAAAAAAATGTAGATCGACATATCTATAAAAACTTAAATGAAAACTTAAAATCTTGAAAATTGACGGTCTAAAAATGTATTAAAAAATACATTATTTCCAAAACTTGAAATCCATTTTTTTCTCATATCCATGCATCTTGACATTGAGATGATCAATTTCATAATATTTGGGCATCAAAACAACCTCTTCTAGTGAAATCTTTGAGGGAGGCTTTAATTTGATTGTTTAGAGCCTCGACTCTATATAAACTTTTTCCATTTTAAAAATGCTGGTTTTGACCATAGTTTACTCTTCTCAATAATATTCAGATTTTTTTTAAGGGATTGTTTATAAAAAGACCATTTATATCTTGTACATGGAGGTCACAATCATCCCTACTCATTAGATGGCTTGAAGTGAGTCACGAAGTCCAAGAATTTTTTTTTCTTTTTTTGAAATTTATGTCAATTCAATGGCACTCTTACAACCACTCATTTTGAAATTTAAAAGATAAAAATGATTGTGAACTCTATGTACAAACATAAATCGTTTCTTTACAGACAATTTAGTTTTTTAAATGGCTCTAAAGTACGCTTTTGAAAATAAATTTGGAAGACCTTTTCTAAAAAAAATTAAAATAATAGTGCATTTTACCTTTAAAATTTTCAACATATATAATATTTGCGTTCCTTATTTTTGTCGTGATTGTAATACAAGGTATTAGCATTTGGTTCATCAGCAAATTACATACATTGGGATTTTTTCTTCAAAGTTAAAACAATTGGCTGCCTCTTCTAAACATGTGCAAAAAAATATACACACACGAACACTTTTTTTTACTTTGTTTTAGCCAAATCCTAACCAATTGCATTTCTTAATGAGTTTATAGTGCTTCATTTACTTTGGCCCATGTTTTTCCAACAAATACAAATTAACACTCACTTTTTGGTCTATTGAGGCATTGACATTACATACATTACTAACGATAATTTTGTACTTTATACCATGGACATTTGTGCCCATGGTTTTTGCACTTGTCAATGCATTAAGAGTAACTTCAAACTTAAGTACACTAATGGATAATCTATATAATCTATATGAAATTTTACGATAGAAGTACTTGATGTGGCTAAAATCCCGGCGTCCCTTTAATAATAGTGAAGGCCTATTATGTGTAAAGGGCCTAGTTTCTAAATACTAACTTTGATATTAGCATTTAAGACACTTTTATGATGAATATCGGGATTGTCTATAAAGAGACTATTTACTTTTTTTATAAGGAGGTCACAACTATTCATATTCATTAGCTATCAAATGGGATGGCTTGGGGTGAGTCAAGAAATTAGAAAAAAAAAATTGGATCATTGTGTTTAATTGATGATACTCTTACACCCATCCATTATGAAATCTAAAGGACAAGAATGATTGTGACTTCCATGTACAAAAAATAAATGGTCTCTTTGTAGACAATTCTTTAGATGTTTACCAACCTAATGCTAGGGGTGGTAATGGGCTTAGCTAATCCAGCCTTAGCCCAGGCCCAGTCCTGTCCTTAGCCGCCGTGGTAGCCCAGCCCTTCGGTCACATTTTATAGTCTAAGTTTCTCTCTATGAGTTCACCTTCTTCTTTTTTTTTAAGTAATTCAATTTGAAGACAAACCCCTATTTTATCAAATAGTTTAGGAGTTAGTTTCTTGAACGTGTTACTGAGGTGGTGCGGGCGGGAATGAGAACCACAATATGGTAAATAAGGTGTTACTGAGGTGGTGCGTGTGGGAATGAGAACCACACCATAGTGAATAAGGTGTGTAGGGGGGGGGCGGGGCCTTTCTCATAACTTCACCATTAACACACACAAGTTCACATGTTACTCTTAAAAACCCATGAAAATTGCCCTATATATAGCGGCTGTTCTAATGGCAATGGTCACTGCCTGTTGTATTAAGTAAACGAATATAGGCGACCGTTTAATACGCTGGCTCATTATCAACAAATAACGGGCATTTTTTATTGCAACAGCCGTCCCATAATGTTTCTAAGAACACGATATATGTTATAACAACTCTTTAGGCTTGTCAGTTTGTCAAAGAACAAGACCAATTATATTCCCTAATTCTCTGAAATCTTAATTAACAACAAATTAAAATCATTAAAATAAAAATTATATAGATAATCAAAACAGCATTGGCCTATTAGCTCAGTTGGTTAGAGCGTCGTGCTAATAACGCGAAGGTCGCAGGTTCGAAACCTGCATGGGCCAAAATACTTTTTATATATCTCTCTTATCGTTATCATAAAATATATTTTTTATATATCTCTTTTATCATTATCATAAAATATATCTCTAAAATATATTTTTTATATATCTCTTTTATCATAATCAAAATTCACTCGCTTTTATATATCTCTTTCATCCTAATTTTATATATCTATATAAATCTCTTTTATCATAATCAAAAGTCCTATAGGATCATTTCTCTTCTTAATATTATTGTCCAAAGATCTCTTTTATCCTAATCAAATCATTCCTTTTTATATTCGACTTATTGGAGTTCTTTTTATTCTAAACGTGTACTCAATAATTCACCTATGTCGCTTCCAAATTTCAGTATAACTCAGTTCGTCTCTGCTACTCCCATCTAAAAATTCTGATTTTCGAGGAAAATGTGTGATTACTCGTTCTCATTATTCATTGCTAGTAACCTTATTATTCATTAACTTTTTTTTGGTTTTTTTGGTAAAAAAAAACTGTTTTTTCCGCCATGCCGGAGTTTGTTGAGCTCAACTGTGTAGATCTCTCAGAGCCAGACCTCAATAAATCAGTCTCTCTTCTCAAACAGGTAAACAATTCTTTCCCATTTTTTCTTTTTTTTAGGGGCAAATTTTTCTGTTTCCTTTTCTCTTTTCCTTATTTTTTTTTTTTATTATTTATGTTCTTTTGCAGCGATTCTTGTATTTGGCGTGCTTGATAGGCTGTTATTTTCAACTTTTGGTGTATTAGAAATAATTTATTGGTGAATTTCGACATAGAAGAATGCTTGAATCTTTAAGCTATGGTTATAGATAAATTTTGATGGATAATAATATAATATTCTTGTTCTCCTTGTCATGAGATCAATGAAGCTTAATTTTTTGAGGAATTCTGGTTTTTGTGTTTTCCTGCAATTTTGAAGTCAAAGATTTTACCTTTTATTTGTGCAGAAATTTCCAAGTTATTTCTTTTCTCCATTGAATTCTTCCTAAATCCCCTTCTCTGCTTTATATTTTGTTTGTTTTGTGAACCATTCTATTGTTCCAACTTTCAAGGAACAGTTTGTTTCATCATTTTTTTTATTTGCTTCTGTATAGGATTGGTTATGTTTTCTCTGTGAATTTTTCATTCTTTCTTGAATCTCTGTTTTCCTTACTTGATGAACTTTTCTGGATTGTAGTTTGGTACTATTTTATTCCAAGAAGTACCCTAACTTTTTATTCAATCAGGTATTCAATTCATTTTTTTATTATCTGGAGACGAATATTTCAAAGTTATTATTCTTCTTGAATATTTCATTATTGACTCATATAGATGTATATGAATTTGGATGAATGTTGTTCTTTATTTGGATTCAGTAAGTCCCTCAATTACACAGAGAATATGGTGTTGCTTTTGTTCTTTATTTATTTTGTTGTGAGTTCTCTCTCTCTCTTTCTCTCTCTCTCTCTCTCTCTCTCTCTCTCTCTCTCTCTAAATTTCAATCACAGGCATGCTTGGACTGCGGATTTTTCTATTTGGTGAACCATGGAATTAGCCTGGACTTGATGGATGAGGTGTTTTCACAAAGCAAGAAATTCTTCGATTTGCCGTATGAAGAGAAGATGAAGGTTTTGAGAAACAAGAAACACAGGGGTTATACTCCTATGTTTGATGAGACTTTGGATCCTGATAATCAAGTAGGAGGTATCCATTAAGATTTTCCTGTACTTCAGTTATATTGAGCTTTTCTTTTTTTGTCTTTCCCTTGTGTTTTTCTTCTTCTTCTTCTTCTTCTTTTCTTTCTTTACTTTTCTTTTCTTTCCTTTAGGTAGTAGGTTCATTCTATGCATTTGTTAAAGAAAGAGGACAAGCGAATATCTTTTATTGCGCCTTTTGATAATTGAGTAGAAAGCAATTCTGAAATCACATTTGGGGCTCTGTACATGGTGTAAACAGACCTAAAAAAATTTAAAACAAATTCTTGGATATCATTGTTTTGGATGTTCAGGAATTTGACCCTCACTCGGCTATGCTAAGATCACAAGCACAAAAGTAATGTGATATTTGTCACTGCACATATGTAACAAAATAATGTTAAATAGACCAGCACCCAATGCCTAAAGTATGGCATAATACGTTGTGTCCAATCAAGTTTAAAGCTTTCGATATGGCAGAAATTTAATCTTGTGACATTTGTCTCATGATTGCATCTAAGTACACCTCATTGATCATCCACCAATGACATCTCCTAAATTCAAACTAGCATGTTTCTCTAAACGAATGCTGTAGTGAAAATCAAAAAGAATTATTTGAACAATTGAAAGGTTCTTTAATTGTGATCCCCTTACATGGAGTTCCCAACATTGATCCTTGATGTCCTGTTTTCTTGAGGTTCTTTTGGTTGTAGAGTATTTTAGTGTTGGATTGTTATCCATGCTATCCAATTTTAATGGAATTAGTTATTTATAGAAAATTGCTGCTCTTTGTTCTTGAAGTGTTGTATGCCCATTTGCATTTCGGAGATTCTTACGAAATTAGTTTCTTAAGGATGGCCTTCTTACTCTCCTTGGGAGATGATTTTAACATTTCAAGTTAAGATGATACTTCCTTAATGATTGCAGGAGATTATAAAGAAGGATATTATATTGGTGTTGAAGTTCCTGAAAATGATCCACAAGCACAAAGATCTTTTTTTGGACCAAATTTGTGGCCTTCAAAAGGTAATTATGACCGAAGTACCATATTCCTTAGTCATAAATTGTTGTATCAAGGTAAAGATATAATTGCCACTTCATTGTATGACTAGTTTTAGCGGTTGTACTTGGATTCACAATGTATTTGATGGCTTGTATGCCATCAATAACCATACAAATGCAAATGTGAAAAAAGAATATCATTGTTGTCTACATTTTCTAAAATTGATTTCAAGTAAAAACGTGGGATTCAAGTTGTAAGGATGCTTTTAACTTATGATACACATCTGTCATAATTTACTCTTTGAGCATTGAATGTTATAAGCTTCAATTGGTGCCTGTCAGATACTAGTTCGAGTAACTTAGAGTTTTAAAAAAGGTATTTGGCAGTTTCATTTCTTGTTAAGTTGGAAATTGGTGTGTATGAAGTGCATTACATGTTAGAAAGTTCATGCTGTAGTTACCGGAATCTCTCACCCAAGGTCATGATTTCGATTCGGAATCCCGATTCTACGATTCCAGCAAGGATTCTTCATGGAATCTTTTCCTTGAAGGCAAGAATCTCTATTTCTTATTTTAGGAATATCAAGTCCAACACTTGCAGAATATTATTTCTAATGTTTATTGATTCTCGATTCCACATTGTTGAATCTCGATTCTACATTTGTCGAATCTGGATTGCACATATAATGGTACTCTCTCCATCAATTTAGAAGCACAAGCATGGGCCCATTAACTACAAAATAAACAATTCACGGTCTATGAGAAGCATCAAATCAAAAACTCAATTCCAAAGATATCGGAATCTCGACTCCATATATGAAGGAATCTCGATTCTATATGGGTAGATTGCAAATAGGCTAGAAACTTCATTCCAAAGAGGACAGAATCTCGATTCTATATATGTAGGGATTTAGATTCTATTTGGATCTAATATGGATTCCTATAAAGTAGGAATTTCGTTTCTCACAATTCCCCTTGTACGGATGTTGACACCAAAAATAGGGGTCTTCTAGCCAGCCCTGATTTTGCGATTTCGATTACCAAAACAATTTGAAATCTCAGGCGTTTCCAACAACTATAGTTCATGCTGCTTCTAAGGAAAACCATTGAGTCTCATAACATAGAAATCAAGTATAATGCTGTAAACTTAAAAAAGAGTATCTTATAAATTAATCTATGGTGACATGAACTTAAGAGGAAATTGGAGGCCTACCATGTCAGTAATACATGCTGATCTCTGGTATTGTTGAGAGAACAATACTTCCCAGCCAGCCCCATCAACACACAAATGTGAAAATATAGAAGCCACCAACTATGTTACAATGACACATATGTTGGGCACATTTTTGTGTCCAACACGTGTCTCTAAACATCAGACACAGTACTAGACATGGCTCAGGCATGTCTGCAGCATGTCTTGAAAAAATTTTATAAGGCACGTGGCTCTTGGCTTGTCGAACATTGGCTTGCATATCTATTGTTTGGACACAAATGTTACTTTCATTGTTAAGAGGTTACAATCAGTGTTCACAAAATCGAACCGGAACGGTTAACTGGACATGGGCCTAGAAGTGATTTAACCGGCCTATCCGGTAAACCGGCCGATTCAACCACTCTAACCGGACAGGTCCTGAACGATAAAAAAAGTGTTAAAAAAATAAAAAAGATACAAAAAAAATCTACTAAAGTATGAAAAGCATATAGAGAATGTGATTAAAACAAGACACACTCAAATGAAGTTGAAAATTAATGAAAAAATGGATTTTAACGAACCGATTTGTGCCTAGCGGTATTTTTTAAATTTTCTGAAGAAGATAGAAAAATATAAAAGTGAGTATCAATGACCATTTTTTTTTTAATCTTTACCATAATGTAAAGAATATTAAAATAGTGTTAAAAATATCGCCTTGACCAACTCTTTTTTTTAAAAAAAAATGATCTTTTTTTTTAAAGAAAATGATCTTTTTTTTTTTAAGAAAATGAAGAAAAAATTATGTTATATATAATATAGACCCTTGTTTTTGTTTTTATCAATTAAGTAGTAAATGGCACATTGGTTAGTGGTCTAGTAATAAAGGACTTCATTAAAAGAGGATTCTAGTTCGACTATTCTAGTGGGCAAGTAAATATTTTTTGAACCAACGAAATGCATTATGAATCAATTCTTAAAACAATGCTGGCGGTGGGATTCGAACCTTGATTCATATAAAAACTAATCATCAAAGCTAACCAATAAACCATTCTAATGTATTTGATATTAATTTGAAGTAGTATTCTATTTAAAGTTTAAAATACTGGTTGGTCACCAAAACCGGCTAAAACCGGTACCGGCCGCTGGCCGGATCCAATCTAATCAGCCGGTCAGCGGTTAGATCGGCCGGTTTTGCGAACACTTGTTACAATATAATATCACACAGTATGGGCGGATGTGTCATGTCCTAGACACCACTTTACAAGGAGCTTTGTCTGGCACGATATGTCAGTGTCCTTGTAATGTAGATTGCATATTTATTTCACAGTCTTGCATGGTGCATGACTTCCTGTAACTACAGCCATTACTGAATTATCGAAAGCTTGCTTGATTGCCATTGGACTTTCTGGGTTTTGGTTCTTCAAATAGCATATCATAAAACATCATTTGGAAGTAAGTCTACTACCATTTTCTTGATAAATAGTCTCATTTATTTCACCAAGGTGTAGTTTTCAGTGTTCAGGTTACTTGGACTCGGCCCCTTGCCGAGTCGAGTACTAAGTGAAACTTGGGGATGTTTAAAAAAAGCATGAAAACTATGTTAAATTGTAATCAATATATAAATAATTTATATGTAAACTTGATCAACATTTGCATATTTGATTAATGTTTTCAATTTTCTTCCTAAGATTTGTTGCCAAGATGGAGAGAAACTATGGAGAAGTATCACCGAGAATGCCTGTAAGTTTTCCCCTTTACAGAGACTTTGAAGATCTTTTTAAACCACTTGAAGATCTGTACATTGGACTTGTGTTTCTTGTGTCTCAGGATATAATGCAAATTAATACATATAGTAATTGCATGGAGTAAAGACGTTTTCACGGTGCATGTTATTAAAATTCTTGTTTCCTGTCAACATTTAGCCATAGTAAGGTAATACGGTTGTGCTGTTACATTGGCAGAAAACGTTACTTGTTTATCGCTTTCTTACACCTCTATCATACCTTATTTGTCTAATTTGTGCATCCTTTATATCTACCATGATCATTCCCATAGACTCCCTATTTAGTTTATTTTGATGGCATAAAGCATCATTAGTTGCAGAATCTGCTATAGATCAAAGCTGGCTTGTGAGAATCTTGGTTGTCTTAAAGTATATGGATATTTGAAAAAATGAATATCAGTAAGTTAATCTGAATACGAATTGTGTAGTATATGCACTAAGAGACTTCTTGTAACACATGATAAGTGTCACTTAACAACTCCCTCAAATTATGGCATTGATGGAGATCAGCAGCAGTCCACTAATTACTTGCTTTCATCTATTGTTATTGACCAGGTATTCATAACATAATTTTCTTCTATTTATTTTGAAGAATTGAATGACAATAACATCATGTGTCCTATCTCATATATATAATGACATTTCATCTATTGCGCTTTGTCCTGTCATGAACCACATGATTAGAAGGAATATGAATTGCTCTCATGTTATTTCCTTGGATATGGGTAGGAGACAAAATTTTAATCCAAATTAATGTTAGTGCCTTGAGATACACTATGTCATTCTTCACACTTTCAATGGTCGAGTATTTTGATCTGCATTTTTACTTGGGTTCTTTTGATATATATCAACATTTTTGCAAGTGCTCAACATATAGATAACTCAAGTCCAATGTACAGGAAACAATCTTCTTACATGGGATAACTCATATTGAAAATGTGAGATGAAACTAGGAAATTCTTCTTACATGGGCTAACTCATATTCTTAATAAATAAAGCTAATGGTGGAGAAACAATCTTTCCCCAGTGTGGGTCATTTATAAATAAACAAAGAGGAAATACACTCCATTGATTCCATACATCTTACAAGTTACCCATCAACTTAGTATCAGAGTAAGACAGATCGCAAGTCGTCCTTCCTCTGACATAGAAAGCTTCCTGTTTCTTGTACTATATTTGATTTCCAATGATCAGTTTACTGGAATTAATTGATGATGCTTGGTTCATATGGCTGTCCATGTATTGGCTTATTGCTGATTGATCAAAGGCAAGGTCTTATGGTGTAATAATGGAGGAATCCACTTTCTTTTACTGATGAGAACTTTATGGTTTGTTTATTCAAAATCTATTTTCTTGGTCATGACGTATTGCCTCTAATTTTTTTAATCCCCCCTAAAATCTTCAAAATATACTGTGATTCATGTTCTGATCCTGTGATATTGGCCACTGTACTTGTACAACTTCTGCAATTTTTGGACAATGCAGTGAGGATTTTCTTTTACAAATATCTCTTTTGTTATATTCAGTGAGAGGGCTAGGGTACTTGCTAGGCTTATTGCCTTAGCACTCAACCTAGAACCTGATTTTTTTGACAAGCCGGAGATACTTGGTGAGGCAATTGTAACTTTGCGACTACTACACTATGAAGGTACAATATGATTTAGGGGTCATTTTTTTCCATTCCAATTACTAATTTCTTAATAAAGAATTTCACAAATTTTCTAGGGAAAGCTGCTGATCCTGATAAGGGCATTTATGGAGCTGGAGCTCATTCTGATTTTGGTCTCCTCACTCTTTTGGCAACAGATGATGTCTTGGGTCTCCAGGTATATTTTGTCAACTTATGCTTATGCTAATACTTATATTGATCAATAAATTTCAGCAACTACTCTGTCTTGCAGATATGTCGGCACAAGGATGCTCAACCTCGAGTATGGGAATATGTAGCACCATTGAGAGGGTAGTCTTTCAGACCTGGGAATTGTCTCCAGAGAAATTTTTTTATGGCAACTAATGTGGGCAAACTTATACTTGAATCATAGTTTCAACCAAACGCTCTCCATTAATGGTTGAACAAAGCTGATTACATATTTATCCTTGATATAAACATATGCTCAGATGACAAAGCCCTTTCTAACTCAGATATCTATGCCCCTTTACCTTTACTAAGTTTCCATCCAAGACTCTAATCAGCCAAATTCGTTTGTCAAGGGTGTGATCATATTATCTATGCAATTTCCCCTAGCTCTTTTGCATGGTCCCTTATGCGCACCTTTTTAAGGGATCCATTATCTGCTTGAACTTGTTGTGCTTCAAGTCCCTGGATAAACAAATTCAGGTTCAGCAGTTTAGTCTGAGTCATGAAATTACATTTTGGTTGTTTGATAACTGAGCAATAAACAAAGAATTCAAATATGGAACTAAATGACCCAACTCTATGTATGACTGAATACTTTGAGTTGATGCATCGTTATTATTGAATTTGCGTAGTATTTACACGTAATTGGTTTATCGTTACTTGATGGAATTTTGAGTATCGTATTGCATCATAAATATTTGTGAGTGCCATTTCACATTATACATGAACTTCTATCCGATACTCTGTTGAATCTATTATTTGCAGCATCAACTTACTTGAGAGCTACCTAACAACCACACGCATGTCATGTATGTTTAGGAGAATTTCACAAACCACGCACCAAAGCTTGTTGATACGCTAGACATGCAGGTAGACATGGAAATCTGTGCCAACATGTCTGTGGAAATTTTCAACTTTTGGATCTCAAACACAACGTCTGCTTTGTGGACACGAGTCCACAGATTGGAAAACAAGATACACGTGCTATGTTTCATCATGTGTGCCGATATGCCAATGGAGATTAAGATGCATTAGCTATCCGTGGTGTTAATTGTGATGTGCTTCTTGTTACTACAGGCCAAACATATCGTTTAGATGCCACCTTGGCATCATCGTGATGGTGGTCTCGTTTTGTACTTTAAATCTTTCTCAAAATGGTTACTCAAAAAAACAAACCTTCATCATGGTACATATGAAATAATGTATATCCATTCATTATCATGATTATCATGATGCCATACCATGGCATAATCATTCAATATATGTGATCACATCGATGCCTTTTAAACATGATGACACAAAATTATATTGGCAGATCATGATTACCTTATCTTTTAGTAATCCGCGTTCAAAGTTTTTGTGTAGTTGTAGTATTGTGGTATTTCATCTTTTTTGTTTTTTTTCTTCTTTTTTTGGGTGACAAAATTATGACTCTCTCTCTCTTGCTTGATTTCAGAGCATTTGTAGTAAATCTTGGTGACATGCTTGAGCGCTGGAGCAATTGCATCTTCAGGTACATCTCACAAAATTGCTCTGATATGTCTCTGAAATTCAAAATTTTAAGATGTTCAAAACAACTACAATCTCTGAGCAAGTTGAAGTAAATGATAACCTAGTGACAGAAGTTAAATTATACGATAACATGGCTCCTGGTTTACTTGGGAATTCTCACACAGTGATAATCAAACATAGCCCTTAAATGGCGAGGACAGGCTCATGAACATGTAAAGAGTTAGCGTAGGGTTGCATTGACTTTGAGTTGTGTTTCCTTTGAGCATTTCCCTAGAACACAGGTGAATTATAGAGAAACAAGGATACTTATAACTCAGGAATTTAGATACGCCTAAACTGGATGCCTAATACATGAAGTTTTGTTTAAGTCTTCAACACTATAACAGGAATCTCTTGCTTCTTATTCATATGTGCACAAGTTGAAGCCTATCTTTGAATTTCATTATTATGTTAGTATTGCTAGTTTCTGGTAACATTTAAAAGTCAAAAGATGTGTTTTTTCTTTTAAGAGGCTCCTCTATGTATTCTTGTTCAGGTTATATTCTCTTACTTTTGAGTGTTACCTATGATATACAGTTGGTAGTCAATGGATATCTCACCATTCATATAGGCTTTTATCATAGAAAATGGATGTTACTTTTCTTGGTAAGAATGGCTGTATGTCTATAACTGGTTTTATACGAATTTCAATTCTTTATTAAGGAAACTCAGGAGTACTTTTTGGGTAAAAAGACTTGAGGAGTACATGATGACCTTAGAAGGCCCTTTAGAACCTGAGTTTGATTGTAAGACCTTCGTGCAGTTCATTGTGCTGTTTTTACAGGTCTACATTGCATCGAGTGTTATCAAATGGTCAAGAGCGCTACTCTGTAAGACCTCATCCTATTGTACTAATTTCTTGCTTTGCAAGCTTTTAAGGATAAATGGAGAATTTGGAAGTGGTCATTGTATTTATTTCGTTAGCATATGAAGTACAACAATGTTTTGTTCAAATTATGTCTTCTTTGTCATGTTGAATATGCTTTTTCTTTCTCATGTACAACTTCGCAATTCCTTGTTTTGGTGGAAACTCACATGGTTTAAGATATTTAGGATATCAAATTTCCCAATTTTGGCTAGTTACTGTTAAATGGATAGAAATTACTACTTGTCAAGAGATAAGCATAGCAATGACTAGAGAAAACATAGCTTTCTAAATGTAAATTTGGACAGACCACTTGTTCTTGAGTTAGTGGCCTTCGTGATTGCTTTTATCAAGGCAAAACAGGTGTTCTTTTAGTATTTCGTAGCAATAGGAATTTTGCAGCATTTCCCAAATAAATGGGGTTGAGAAATGCGGATTACTCATGAACAGTGTTCAATGAGTACTGTATTAGAAAAATACGTTTCTACTTGTCTATTTAAACTGGGCCTAAGTAACTAGGAAATATATGAAACTGGAATCATGGAATAACTCTTTCAATCACCAAGTCTTAAGATTTTGGTTCTCGTCTCCCTCCCTCTCTCATGTGTGCACCATATTCATGGTTGAACTATGAATCGTTTGGTCTTTGCAGATAGCGTACTTTGTGGAGCCAAGTCACGATTGTATTGTGGAGTGTCTGCCAACATGCAAATCTGATTCTAACCCTCCCAAGTAAGTTGGAGACTTGCATGTACACGTGAATGGCATATCCCAATATTCTCAATCCTCTAATAAATAATTAAGAGAATCTTATCGCAATATTCTCAATCCTCTAATAAATAATTAAGAGAAAAAGATTCTCAAGAGCCTCTGTCAATCATTTCGTGTACTAACTACATGTTATGCATTTCAAAAGATACTTGTCTCTGGATCATTTGTCATTGTGACTCTCATTGGATTTAACTTGCCTTGATTTATCCAGGTATCCTCCTATAAAAAGTGAAGCATACCTGCATCAGCGATACATGGATACGCATGCGGACTTGAGTTCTTACGATCACAAGACCGGCTAAACTACCAATCCGGTCATGTCTCATGATTTGCATTGTTTTTCTACTTCTGTAAATATTGTGCAATATGGCATAATATATTATTCAAACAAATACAATGGTTATTTATGTAAATTTCCCCCTTCTTATGAATAAGCACTATTTATAGTCCCCAAAATAGCATGCAAGAATTCAGTAAAAAAGCTAGACTTGGCCAAATTTACAAGCAATGCTCATCTGGTACTATATCTCCAATTTCATTCATAGTATGCAAGATACGATCCATTAGTCTCAAGACTCATAGAGTTAGATTTGTTAACCTCCACACTTTGCAAAAACTTTCATGAATCCTACACCTCCAATACCTGCTTATGCTAGGGCATTCTCTAGAAACGAATTATAACCTCATTAAGGGTATGGTCATTAATAGAGTAGGATGGCAGAGCAAGATTTGTATATGCGACTCCAATTAATTGGAAAAAAGCTTTGATAATAAGCTTAAGAATCGTTTGGACGAATCATTTAATGAGGAACAAGCTTTCTTTCTTTGCCGTCCACTTGAGCGAGAAAATGGCGCAATTTGGTACGTTCCACATATCGTTGGTGAGCCCCTTCTACGTTCCTGCTTATTAAGAAAATGCTGCCAAAATTGACCCAACTCTGCAAGAAGAAAAAATGTCGATTTTTATATATTTTCAAACACCCCTTATCTTAATGTAGTTGTTTGGCCGTGGAAACAAGGCCTCAGGGTTCCAATATTTTGAGGATCCTTTGTTTCATGAGGAAGCTCTTTATGGGAAGAACTTATCTAGCAACCCCTATTTGCATGTTATGAGGGCAAGTCAGGACACTTCATGGTTGTACAAATATAACTATCAACTATCGCATGTCAGAGATAGGTGGGCCTAGTTAATGATGATATTGATTAGTTTGGGAGCATTTTCTCTCTCTACTAGATCCCCTGAGATATAAAATGGGATAAACCCATTTCTCATATGTGTGTATCGAATTAATGGTCTGTTAACTGGAATATTGGGACAAAAACCCTACAACTAAGGGTGTTGGGCTTGTTAAAACTCGTGTGCAATTTAAGTGTCCCCCTCAACATCGACAAATCAGTGCACGTAAGTGAAATAACAAGAATTCGCACATCATTCATAGATGAAAGGGCGAAATTCGAAACCAAGCATAAGTTGAAAAGCAAAAGACGAAGAAAAAAAATTAGAAAAGAGAAAGAAAGGCAAATATATATATATATATATATATATAGGGATAGCAACAAAATTCACTGCCTCTGCATAAATAAATAAAAGAAGGGGAGGGAAGATCACATCCTCTACCCGGTGTCCTCATGACCGTCCTCAGCTGCAGGTGCAGGACCACACGACTCTATATGCGTACTTGTCTGGATTCCCCTATGCTCTGAAATTGTGGCCAGTCGGTGATCGGGTTAGAGGTAGGGATGGTGGTGGCTGCCTCTTATGAGAAACCTTGTGTGCACAAGAGTGTTCACCGCCCGCCTCCAAGAGATAGCTGCTCAGCAGTGTATTCTTACATAGTGCATCCTCATGAAAGTTGCATCCTAAGCAACTCCCGCAAAGAAAACACGTATCATATCAGTAAAGAAGGAGAAGGAGAAAATCAAGGAAGGAAGACACAGCCGCTCTCCTCGGACACGACTGAGAGTCTCTTGAAGCCTGGCTAGATCCCTCTCAAGGTCGCTGGGGCTAGTCTTGGCCGGTGCCTAACGCACCTCTCTAGCTCAGCTCTCGACTTCTCAACCTCAGCCCTGACTCCCTCCAACTTTGCCCTCATATCATCCTGCTTTGTCTCTAATGCTGTCCTCGTCTCACACTCGGCTATCGCTACCTCCCTCGCCTCGGCCACCTCATCGAGCTCCCAACATAAGCGCTCAAGATCGCCTAGAGTTGCGGTCTCTCCTGCAACGCCACATCACGCTCAATCTCCACGAACCTCTGGGCACAAACTGCATCCTCATGTTGAGCCCTCGAGAGAATAATCTCCTTGCGAGAAGGTTGGTCCACCCCGGATCGGGCAATCCCCATTTGTCGGGCCACCTCCTCTCAATGGTCAGTCAAGGTGGCAACTTCCCTAGATGCAACCTTGTACCTCTCCTCATACAAGGCAAGGGAATACCCTCCTCCTCCTCCTCCTCCTCCTCGCCGATGACTCTAGCAGTCCTACCTCCTCGATCCAGGGGTCAAGCTGTCTCAAGTATGACTCTCAAAGAGGGAGTGATCTCAGAGAAAGACTGAGGCAAACCAAACTGACTACGAACTTGTCCGGGGTAGTATGCCCCCACGTTATCCATGCAAATCACCGCATTATTCATGCAAATCAAATGAGCGGTCATCCTGAATATCCTGTGAAGACTTACAATAAACTGCGGGAACAGGGTCGGCCCTCGTGGGAGTCCGATCGATCTAGGGAAGAAAAAGACATGCCAATAGACTCAAGACCCTTACCTAGTGGAGAAATGCGAAAGCAAAGAGAGGAGATCGTGTAAGAGTAACTTACCTTCCATTAGTGTTTGCAAAATCGAATCGGAACGGTTAACCAGACATGGGCCTAGAAGCGGTTTAACCCGAAATTCCATATTACATGTTCTAGGATATGAAATCAAACACACAACAAATCAATCAATAAACAATTACAAATACTTAAATACAAATAAAATAATCAATAATAAATCTTGCAATATCAAAGTACAAACTAACCTCGTTAGGTTGGAGGTTATCGAATTCTTGTCTAATGGGACGGATCAGGTTATGTGGACTGCCATAATAATTATTTGGTGGCTCCTATCTTTTTTGGTCGAAGCATATTTGGAGAGATACTATGGGGTATGGGCCTCGTATGCATAATATGCTCATAAGACCAGCTCTGCATTTTAGCAACATATGATGAGTAATTTTTGTTTTTTTTTAAAGTAGTCTAAACTATTATGTCTATATCAGATACAAAAATAGAATTTTCATGTATAAGAGTGGTTGAACCACTAAAATGTCTTCACTTGAAAGTACAAGTTTTTTCAAGAGAACGATAAAGATATGTGATGGCTGTAGCACCCCAAGCATATCTACCGGCTTCCTCAATACCCTCAAAGAATTATAAGTACCTCATTGACACTGTTACAACCGATGAATCTGTGAAAATGGTGACACTGATGAGTTAGAGCAGGTAGGCTCGGGTATATCTAATAACTTGCACAGGGGTTGCATCATGTGGCCATGTGTGAAAGTTGGCCTTCAATCATGAGTGCTTGATGACTGTTAAGTTGCTTCCATTGGGGACTATATCCAAATTGTTTTATATGAACTCTCGGATGTCACTAATAGGACGACATGTAACAAGGTCGTCATCTACAGCCAGTCCTAATATCTCATAAACATCAAATAATATGGGTGTCATCTCACCAATTTGAATGTTGTAGTGAAACGAATTGGTCTCAGAATGCCACCTCTCTACATTGGCTGCGACCAAAGGATGATTAATTCGATCCAGTCGGATAATAAATAGAGCACCCAACCCAGACGTGCTCACTAATTAAACTTGCTCATCGGTTAGATGCCAATCAGTGAAATGAAAAGTCTTTTCATTCTAATTTCTTGTTTTTCCTGGAATACAACAAATAAACAACATATGAGTCACAATATATATACATGTACTTCCCGTATGATGTATAAACATACTACAATTTATTGAAAAATAACAAACTAATGGAAAGAGCATATGAATATATACATATACATATACATGTCATTTCCATATAAAAAAGGATGAATGTTCTGGATGAAGCTGCAGCAAACTGGGGTCCTGATGACCTCTTGGGTATCCCCCATCTGGATGGACATGATTCATATTCACTGAAACCCCATATGGTCACCATATTAAATATAAGGTTATATATGTAAATTTAACTGAATAACAAAAAAACAATAATAACATGTTATTATTAAACGGAAAAAATGGTCTATTTTAGACCATAACCTAGTGTTATGGAGCTCTTCAACTCAACTTATAGGTTCTAATACAAGTACTACTCTATCAAAAGAACATGTTAAACATAAAGTTACATATGCAAAACTTAACTGTATAACAAAAAAACAATAATAACATGTTATTATTAAACAAAAAAAATGGTCAATTTTAAACCATAACCTAGTGTTATGGAGCTCTTCAACTCAACTTATAGGTTCTAATACAAGTACTACTCTATCAAAAGAACATGATAATACAAAGGAATGAATATCGAGACATCAATAACTCATAATGCATTTGCATATAGAATCAGTGAAACAATGCTAAGTCATAGATTAAACCTCCAAATAAGTGATCACAAATTTACATATCGAATGAGCTCTCAAATAAATCTAGTCATGAATTATTCTATCCAAAATATTGAAGCTTGTATGCATAAAGTAACTTATTTCCTATGTACTCCTAAAACCACAAGAATTTGCAAAATGTTCAAAGTAAATATGTACTTGAATCATAAATCACATACAAATTTTCATTTTTAAGCTACTCAATCTATCTACAAGAAAAATCAACCCTTTCCTAAGATATCACTAAATCTATCATAAATTTGTACTTAAAACTATCTAAGAGTATCAAAGTTAACACACAACACAATATAATGCAAAATCTAACCAACATTCAAAACAAAGCAACACATCAAATTTCGAGTTCTAAAAACAAATCATGCAATCACAGTTCTGTGAATTCCTCACAGACGCTAAAAAAAAGCCATCAACTCAATACATCTTGTAAAAATTTCGAGTTCTACAAAAACCCCAAAATTCTTAGTTCTCAAAACTCCCAAATTTTAAAAATCTTATAAAATAAAATCGACCCACAAATTAATTGATACTAAATCAATTTCACGAGAAAGAACTAGTGTGCTTGAGTATAAGCCCTAAATCAAAATCTTATACAATCTAAATTTCTAAAATCAACCCACATACCTTTAGTCTGTGAAACCTTCAAAATTCGAGAAATGTTGTCAAAATCCAAAATAAATCCTTAGCTTCACAGAGCTATACAATTAGGTTGTTTGGGAGAGAGTTGTTAGTTGCCTTTGTTTAGCACTCACACAGCATATGTTTAGCACTCACTGAGCATAGACGCAGAGAGCAGAGAAGATAAAATGTTAAAAC